GAGTCCGGCTGAACAAGGCCAAAGTCACCAAAGGGTCATCAGGCATTAAGATTCCACTTCCGATTTACTCAGAATATCCAAACATCTCCAGCAGGGGTTGGCTCTGAAGATGTGTGGACGTATTGGATGTCCACGGACCAGCCTAAGAGGCCACTCCGGACGAGACAACCGCCTGCTTCCGTCCCGCCTCTGCCCCAACCTACTACCTGTGTGACTGATTCAGGAGACAAGATCCAGGTGCGAAATAATTTTACAGGTTTGCAGTCTTGTTGGAATCATTGCAAGATATGTACACCTATTGTCTGAGTGAATGTCACAGTTAATTACCTACTATGAAGACTTAATCATTTTACTGATAAGACTCAAACATGCAGGCATGTACATAGTACCTTCCAGAGTGGTCAGGGTTTAGTGACTTAGTTCAGGGGCCCTAAACATGTGATGATGGAGTCACCTCAGGCTCTCTTCCCTGCAAGCTGAGCAGAAGACGAGACCCCCACACCCACTGGAGCTGGAAGGAGACGGCAGGGTGTTGCACACCGCCCTCCCGCCAGCAGTCAGTCATTTCCACCTCCTCCACGCGCACTGGTGTGGCAGCAGCCAGGCTGAGCCTGACCTGCAGAGGACACAGCCCCTAGGTGTGTGGTGTGCACGGGAACGAGACGCATCGCTGGCCTCCTGCCAAGATGGGAGAAGGACAGAGGAGAGTGACAGACACGCAGGACTTCCAGTTTGCAGACAAAGAGCAAGTCCAGTACTCTGGAATTAACTTCCAATTTCCCTGGCCATCAGTACTATCGTAGGAAAAACAAAAACGAATCAGACTAATAAAATGAAATGATGAACGATTAATAAAGAAACCTTGGCAGAAAACCATTCTCTGAGAATGACAGGACCACAGGAATCAAGAGGCTGCCCGCAGACCAGCACGCTCACCAGAGGGCACACCTACATGCCCTTTCTAAGGCCATTCTCCTCTTTTGGACAAAGCCCCGACTTTGAAATTCCATGAATAAGCCTAACAGAGCCTTGACCTCCACGTAAATCGCTTACTCTCTCCCAGGAAACACCAGTACACACGGCTGCCACACCATCTCCAGCAGAGCAACAGCCCCTCCCTGCGAACAGGAAGGGAGAAACCTCCATCCAGCCACAATCTGAGTTTCTCTCTAAAAGCGTCCATCTCACCTAGTCTGCACCTGCTTTCTTTCAGGGGACATAGAGCCAATCACACGTTTACAGACTTCCTTCACCAGTAGCTGACACTTGAGAATGGGGCTCTTGGCCTCAGCTCTGTCAGGCCCCACTCGATCCACGAGGGGTAAACCTTGGCTCTGCACCTGGGGGCAGGTTGCTCTCCAAGAACGTCAGCGCTGTGGTGGCTGCTCTGAGAGCCGCCCTCCAGAACTGCTCGCAGGGAGCCTGGGCCAGGGCGCTGCCGGGTGAGCTGGGCTGAGGCAGACCACAGGGCAGGGCCGCCCTGCCCCCACGCAGGGAGCCGACATGAGGACCTGAGGGGTGCAATGAGGGCTGGGGGCGGCTGGGGCAGCTGTCCTCATCCTGAGCATGGAGGCTGCGGGCTGGGGATACAGGAATCAGGTATCTCCCGACGGCCTCAGGCAGGTTGGGGTGTCAAATGGAAGATGTTCAGTAAAGGGGCCCGGGAGATGGGGGGGAGGCGGAACACTTGGATGTGTGGATCTGGGCATTAGGATCAGTGACTGAGGTCATAAGGCCAGTCTCAGCCCCACAGACCCTTTGCCAAGTGACCTTGGGACCCAGTTCTGCTACAGCCCCTCGATGAGGACCCCACACAGAGAGAGATAGAATCCTGCAGCTCCAATGCCCCACCCCAGGGTGAGCCCCCACCCCATGCCAGCTACCGAGATGACATGCAGCCTCCTGTCTGCCTAAGAGCAAAACACCTGCTCTGAGGAGTCAAGACAGGACAGGAAATTCTGCTTCTGAGCAACTTCCTAACGGTTAGTACCGAAAAACTTTCTAACAGCTAACCTGCAAGAAGGACGACAACGCTCCTTTCCACAGAAGAGACGGGGAGAGCCCAGGAAACCAAGGACCAGACACAGGAGGAAACTCTTTGGACAACCAAAAATGTGCCCACAGAGCATTTTCTCCAGAAAGCCAGGAACCAGGAAGGGTTTGTTGCCACCCAGCTAAAGTCGGTTCTGGACCACAAAAAGGGTGAAGCTTCCTGCCACAGAGTTTTTGGAGCATTCCTTGTCTGACCAAGAGGCAAGGGCCTGAGGTGCCTACACCAATGTTTCCACTGTGAGCTCTGAGACCGATGGTCATGGCACTAAGCAAAAGAAGAGCTCCAGGGCCTGACGAGCTTAGGACAGGATGACCGCCCTGAACTTGCAACCTGTCTGCGGCCCCAGCTGGTCCCTACGTCTCACGCAGCCTCGCCCACCTGGCAGCACTGCATCCAGGAAAGCTGTGTCTTCCATCCTGCTTCCACACCTGCCCTGGGAAGAGGAGGCTCACAGCTCCCCCCACCCAAGGCGCAGCAAGGTCAGCTGCACTCCAAGTCCGGAGTCGGACCTATCCTATCCGAATCTTGCTGCAG